GTGATAGCATGTCTTGCCTGCGGCCTGCTCGGGGTGCAATGTAAGCTTTTAAAAGCCCTGTTCTATGGGTAAAGTGCTCAGCTATATGTAAGTACAGTCTTCTATCAGAATGAAATATACTTTCCTATGGAGCAAATTATAAAGATTATGTGTAATATAATTTAGAGCACCCTCTGTTTTGTTGTGCTGCACACCTTCAACATTATTGTGACAATGCTTTTGAAAAAAAATCATTCTGAAATATTGATCACATGTGCAAAACTACACCCTTTAATCAAAAACAAATGTGTTTGATAAAACAAGTTCAGTGTCTGAACTACTGCTAAAGAAAGGGAAGATTAAAGTAATGAGAGTATAGCATCCCTGCTGATGAAATCTGACACCAAGCCTTCCTACGGCTTATTACCCTTGACCTAAATCATTCAGTGACCTGTAGACCCGTGGGCCACAGAAACCTTGTAGCTGAAGTACTGCTCTTTGACCTCCACATCCTCAGCTTCTTCCTCTTTTGGGGAAGTCCGGTCAGAAGACCTTTACAGTAGTCTCATCTTCTAGAAATTAAAGCTATTGTGAAAAACTACCACACCCTTCAGGTCACAGGGAGTAAGGAATGCCTTATGTGTAAACATTTAGGACACAAACCACATTATTTTTTGCCATGTTCTGTGTTTATTGCCATAAGTTCAGTTTGAGATGTGCCCGTGCTGCTGTGATTCTGGCACAAACGGTTTGACTAAAAGACAGAGAGAACTAAAATTCTTTCCGTCTTGCCTGCCTTACCGCTGTGAGCCATCACTGGCCCTGCTGTAAGAAGTCTGCGAAACCAGCTGGAGAGTAATCTTATTTGCCAAATGGGAGCAAAGTTACTTTAGACCACACAATAAAAAGCTGCCACGGCACCTGCTACACGCCAGCCAAAAATAATGAACACCTGAGAAGATTGGAGGCAACTCAATCAACGTCACTAACACTGCCAGTCAGAAAATAAAAGGCAGGTACGCAGCTTCTGTTGCCCTTTGTTTTCAAACAAAAGCTTCCCTCATGTATTCAGCCAAGAGTAGGGCAGTCTTTATAAAACACCAGACAAATACTGAGTCATTGTTTAATCCAGATAGGCCTGTATTTTTCCATCTGTTATCACTCTCTATTTCTTCTTTTATAATAGAAGAAACCTTGGCAACAGTTGCTACATAGTCAGGTTACACAGAGTGAAATTAAAGCAAACATGTGTTTTAACCTAGAATTATATTAGAAAAACACAAATACGTACGTTCACATGTGATTGTTCTCTAATGCAGCACAAATATACTGAGCATCCCACTTTTCCATGTAGTGAAAAAAAATCCTCTTTACATTTGTTTTCTTCTAATACATGTCAAATGTGTCTGATCTTTTCATTTATGTTGGGTTTCTTTTTCCAGGAAGAATCCTCAACAGGTTTTCAAAGGACGTTGGTTACCTGGACTCCCTGCTCCCATGGACGTATTCGGACTTTACACAGGTGAGTGTCACCTCGGCAGGTCTGGTTCGCCACCACTGCTGCATGGGGAGGCCATTTCATGCCTGGGTAAGCCTGCATTGTGGCCTGGGTTTCCTAATCTGGAAACAATTACTGTAGGATTACCCGCCAGCGTGGCCCAGCGCCTGCACAGATTTAATATAAGTGTGCACATAGGCTCAGGGCGTGGCTTTCTCAATGTGACACAACAGAAACGGCATCCTCAGAGAGACTGCTCAGCAAGTGATGGGAGAGAGAAAGGAACCAAAGAGGTAAAAAATAAAGGCTGTGGGATTATGGCTCAGAAATGGAGGAAATCAGTCGGTGGAAAGGAGAAGTGCGGGACAAAGATGGTGAGGAAAGTGGCAAGAAGGAATAGTGTGAACCTACAGACACACAGGAGTGGAACTGGAAGTGCGTTAAAAGGTGAAGTGGACGGGTCAGTTGGAACTGATCCAGTGCAGGACTTGTTGCTATAAGAGCATTTCACCTGCGGCACTGACGTCTTACAGAGCCGGTCGCCAAGGGCCACCCTGGTGCATAACCAGGTTGGGTTACCAAGTGCCACCCTGCCATCATGACAGCTATCTCCCACGAAAGCCTGCGGAGATGAGCCAACTCATGCACCTAACGCCACAAAGAAGGGAATGTTCGCTGCACAATTTGAGGTAGAGGAGCAGGCGTGGCTCCTTGGTTTGGGCCAAAGAATAGAACAAAGGCATGGTGAAAACGAATCCCCCCTCCACAATGCCTGAGTGATGTTTGTGGCAGATACCCATCTCACAGTAGACAAAAGCCTTCTTAAATGCTGAAAGCACAAAAGATCATTCCCACAAAAGCTTTTTGTCTGCCATAGTTCCCCTCATTTTTATAATAAGGTGAATAATGGCACGAGTAAAATAATAACTTTGTAGAAAGCCCATAAGGTACAACCAGAAACAGCGAAAGTAGAATAGGTCATGACTGAACATAAGATGACAAACTGTTCTACATACTATGTGATGTGCACCCATGCCATAGCGGTCATTTTGGGATTAGGATTTCTAGTAAAAAAGTACTGCAAAGTAAACAATGGAGGGTGTTAAAAGGCTAAGTGTGATATGTGGATGTGGTTTCTTTTGGTCCTTCTTTGCAGCTGCAAGTGGGAGGTGATTGTGACACTGGACAAAGCTTGCACTTTGTGCACAAAGCACTTTTGTTTGTGCTGCTTTCTGCTCTTATTTAAAGGTGTATGTCATCTAGGACTCTTAAAAGCTTCCAGGAAGGAAGATTCACACTCTCTTTTACCAGAGTATTAGCCACGCAGAAAAGCCGCTGATCCCGACTATTGTTGCTCACTCACAGAGGGACATTTCCCCATAGTTGCTGTCTTAATGGTTGTCAGTAGAGAATAAAGTGAATTTTCATAAACAATGTCCTAACTGGTTTATCTCCCTCTATGGGGAGGTACTGCTTCAGAGCAGAGATTTGCAACAGAACGTCCTCCTTTATGGTGAGGTAAGCACTCCACAGCCTCTCTGCTCCAACCCCAAACCTGCCTGTAAAAGGGGATTCCCCCTGTCGGTGTGAACCTGGTTAAACTCCAGAGTCAGATTTTTTTTCACAGGTCTAATTTCCTAATTATTTATTATATGGGTTAAAAGGGGGGCTCTTTCTCTCTCCCCTTTATGGTCAAAGGACAAAGACAGAAATGTCAATTAAAAACACCTCAGGCTTTTGGGTCTGCCAGCCTTTGTGTGGACTTGACCTTTAAATCCTGGGTTGCCTCTATTTTCACAGAGGCCACAGGTTGGAACAATGAGGGGTGAGTTCAGGAGTCTTTCACAGTGGGATTTTGTGTGACGGCTCTTGACCAAGTTACATCACTTGCTGTGGGGTCCACAGCTCCTCCCAGAGGTGTTTTGGGCTTTCATGCAAACTGAGTTCGTCAGGATGTTTATGCTTAGGCCTCATTGGACAAATACTTTTACTTTTAAGGATGACTTCACCTCCTCTCATCAGCTGGAGGTATGTGAAAAGAAAAAAGACAACCCTCTAGAAAAATAATTCACTTTTGTTAAACTGTCATTAGTTTTCACCATTCTATCTTTTTTTACTCAAAAATGTGTGTGTCTAAAAGCAAACTCCAATAGGAGGCAGTATTGCTATGGTATATAGGATAGAACAGTATGTTATATAAAAAAGGGGAGCTCCATGCTCTATGTTCATAAACACCAACATTCTTGCCAAATGTAGCACATAAGTCAAACACAGCAGTAAACACATGAGGAGAAAGTTGTACATTTGTGTGTGTGGTGCATGGCAGTCCTTGTGCAGAAGGCACACAAAAACAGAAAAAAAGCCTATTATCTAAGAACACTGGCGGGTGGGTAGTGTGAGTTTTTATACCGGGGCACATTGTTTGTCAGCCTCTTCAGTAGCTTTGTGGGATATGAGAACTGCTGACGTAATTGTGAGTGCTGCGGGATGGGATTTCACCGGCTTTCTTTGCTTCTTTAACGCTCTGATGACAGAAGAAATGAAGAATGCATTGGCTCCAGGCGTTACACAGGTTAGCCTGAGAAACACGGGAGATGGTCCTGTGTGGAAGTGTATAGCCTGTGCAATAAATCCCCTTTCACTATTGTTTTATGACAATGCCATTGTCGCCTTGCACATGGTGGAAAAACACAAATGACACAAAAGGGGAAGCCCAGAGAGGAGTCCGCAGTGGTGCTCTGTAGTTACTTATTCCATAATTTGTGTAAAATGTAGAAGGATAGAAAAGAGCAGAAAAACAGAGCAAAATAAAAATCTATGCACTTTTGAAAGTAATCATCTGCACTGCAGGAATGGTTTGAGGGTTTAAATGCAGAGGAAACATTTAATTTTGTTTCTATATGACAATAATTTAGTGCTACGTTTGATATGCCTATAGTTCATGACCTTTCAGCAGCAGTTTATGCCTCAGCCTCAGCCTTTTCATTCAAATATGAATCCAGACTCCGTCAATCATTACACTGTGATATTACCTGTAGATAGCAAGAGGCTACAGTTCTTTACTATCTTGCAAGGAAAAGTACTTTTTTTTTTTTTTTGAAGTTTTTTTGAAGCAAAAGTTCAGGAAAAAGACATTTCATATCTTAAAATCTGACAGGTTAATATTTATCTGTCCTTAATATTTAAACCACATCACTGCTGTCAATTTCTATCTCTAACTTTTTTAATTTAGTCACAGTTAAAAAAACGTTTTTTTTCTGATTGTTTACAAATCAAAAGTTTAAATAAACTACCAAACTCAAGTTTATACTATCTATCTATCTATCTATCTATCTATCTATCTATCTATCTATCTATACATACATACATATATACATATATATATATATATATATATATATATATACACTTTTTTGCATATTTGGGGAAGTATTCAAACTTTTCCGGTTGGTCAAAAAATAATAGCCGTGTGTTTTGTTCTTTGGTGTGCTCAACTGGCAACTAAACAATAAGTCATACGGTCATTCCATGGTGAGCAATGACCAGCAAAAACTTCCCGTGTGTGTATGTGTGGTCTTCCATTATGCTGCGGTCCATCACCTCAGCTGCACTGACTCAGACAGAAGGGTCAGGTTGTTTGAGCCTGGGAACTCGCAGAGAAAAGCCTCAATCCCATCTTGAGTTTTGCCTTTTTCTGGTATTGATAACATCTTTGGTGCTTTGTTATGAGCCAGTGATTGCATAAAAGGTGCTGTTGCTTTTTTTTTATAAAGGTTAATGTTGTTGTCAGAACTAAAAGAAAGAGAAATGAGTGAATAAATCACTTAACTGGACACTAGTGATTTATCTTTTTGTACAAAGAAAAGCAGGGGGCGAAAGAGAGAGAGAGAGAGCGAGAGTGCATTTCAAAGCCTTTCTCTTATTTCCAAAATGGGGTTGGAAATCAGCAGCTTGACTGAGCCCAAATAAGTGACTTCTTTTACCTTTTCACAGCACACAAAAGCCTAATCCTAGGACTACTTGAGCCACCAATGTAGACAGCGACTGAGACCACCACAGTATGTGTCAGACCCTCCTCACCACACACAAAACACATTGACTGCAGCATTATGAAGTGAAAATGGCCCGAAAAGGGAAAATGTGAAGGAGGTGTCCACAGTCATTTCCCTCAAAGAAAGGCCACAGCATCTTGGCATTTAATGCCAAAATAAAGCCCAGGGACATCGTAGAATGGATTGGGTCACTTCTTTTGTTCCAGACCACAAGTGGAACAGCCCCGTTTTGTTTCAGTACCACTGACCCTTGCAACTTTTTGTGCGCCTCTGTCATGAAAAGTGTGGAACAAAACAGAAAAAACCCCACCAAGTGTTGACAGAGGACTTCTATTGAGGAATTTAATTTACCCCACATTTTCCTCGTTTCCTGTTTTTGTTTGCTCGTCATTCCCACCGGCAAATATTGCACACTGACAGTAAATAAAGGAAGGATGAAAAAAGGCGTCGTGAAAAGCGCACTGAAGTGCTTGTGTCCAGGGGGATGTTTAATTAAAGGCAAGTGTTTATTTTCCGCTGTGGAACAAGAGTCGCTATCATCGCTGCGCACAAATATAGCAATTAACTTCAATTTTCTACATTTATTTGGACATCAAAGGGCTGATAGAATCGTTGAGAAAATAAAGCAATTAGGGTCAGCAGAGATTTGAATGGTCTTTGGACACAGCGGTGTGCCCACTTTGCTTGAGTGATTGAATCACATGCGTGCGGTAGCTTTCTTTTCTTGCTAAAGCGCAATTAGTGGTAATTCTTTATTTAAGCTGTTTGTAAACAAAGCCTTTCATCCTTTTATCCACTTTTATGTGCAGGGGGATGTGGCTTTGGGAGGTTTCTGTTCCTGTGTGGCTCCATGGGAGATATGGATGTGGTCTGAACGAGTGGAGAACCATTTATCAGGAGTCATCTGTGTGTAGTGTGGGCGGGGGGCGCGGTGTTCCCGATGCTGACGTGATAAGTGCCAGACCAAGCAAAAGGGATCACATCAAACAGGGGCCTTGGCGACAGAGACCCTTGGGAGCAAAAAGAAGGCAAGTCTCCTCAATCTAATGGTTCCTGCTCCTCCTCTGTCCCCTCGGATGACCTCGCTGTCAGACAAACTAGCCACATGCGGACCTTCGATGTCCCTACACAAATGGGCCTAATTATAATTTAAATTAACCAACCAATCAAAATAAATGAGCAGTGTCATAAGTGTCACTTACCTACAGCAGGAGAATGAGACAAAAACCAAGCTCTGAAGACGCTTGTTCGGTTCATATTTGCATTTCTCGAGAGTCTGTTTGATGACATACAATAATTGCCATATGTGAAACCATCTCTATTTGCAGTCTGGTCGCCTTCCATCAAGACCAAGATTAAAACGTGTACTGTGAAATTCCTGGGATCAGTAATGCTCAGTAGCTTTCACTGTCACTGGTTTGATTGTCATAGTTCCACTGGCAATGGTTGGACTAGTAATACCCTCCTATCTGTACTGCAGATGGGATTGTGTAGCTTTTCATCTTAGAACTGCACTGATGCTGATCATGCCTAAATGTGTGTGTGTAAATATGGTGATAACATCTGCAATTAAGTTGCCAAATTAAATTTAAAATCTGTCGGGGCTAGTCGGGGCAGGAGACCACTGCAGGTAACCCTATCATCCTAATCTAGCATGTCTTAGGATCCAGGTTTTAGGATGTGTCTAATTTCAGGGTGCGAGGCTTCAGTTTTATTATCTAACACTCGTGTCACATTTTTCAGCACTCATTTTAGAAGAGACTTGATCTCAGACATTTTAGCATTGACATATTTAGAGTATTTAAGTTTAATTTATGTAAGTATGTTTCTTGTGGGGATATGTTTCTTACAAACTGTACACATCTCAGATTCATTTGATTTACCCACCTACAGAGGCCCTATTTGAAAGTCCACTTTTTATTCCATATTTTATTCAACATGGTTCTTCCTGTTTCCTTCAGATAATGAATTTCTGTCCCTATAATTACGGATAATTAGCCCTAATTACCACAAAGGCTGTTGATTATAAGGTTACTTCTAAAACCAGCAGTAATTTTACTGTGTTCCAGTTTTTCACTGATGATTGTGGAAGGTTGCATCCATTTCTGAGTACTAAATCTCTAGGAGATTCAAGGTTTGAAGTGAAGTACTTGAACTTTGCATAATGTGTTTAATATGTTTCAACCCTGCAACAAAAATCTGAGTAGTTGCATACTTTAGATGAATTGTTTAGATAAGATGTTGTCTAAGTAAAAGATGCGCTGCCTGGAGCTCACCTGTGTCTGTGTGTGCCCCTCAGCTGCACTAAAATGTAATTTGTCACAACTGTTTCAGTGTTGAAAATGCTCAAAAATTAAATATAAAGAATTTGATTTAGAAAAGATGCATAAGCCAGGTGTGTGAATATGATTATGGTACATTTAGAATTGTCACAGTTAACCAAAAAATATGTCTGTATTGAAATAGCATCAGAAAATTGTTTCTAATGAAATTTAGTTTAACCTCCTAATCTCCACGTATTGTATTAAAGTGTCAAGAGATTGTGTATTCAGGCAGTTTTAAAATGTTTTGGATCCAAAGGCCTTCAAACTAAAATGTCTCTGTTTCCATTGTTTCCCACCTTAGAACAAGGAATTAAAATCTCAGCAGTGAAAAAAATTCATGAGTTTAAAAAATGATCCATTAAATACGGTGATGCCAATCTATGGACTTTTATTAAGCAAAAAAAATAATCTAAAAATCTAATTGGGACAGGCAGGTCACAAGAGGTGTTATGTGTCATTAGCTTTACTTATAATATGTTTATTTGCTCATCGACAACTGTCTGTTTTGATATTATGTCTGGCTACGATACCGTAGCAAAGAGCTCTTGTTGTAGGGTGGAGCTGTACACCTTCAACAGTGCTGGTGAACTTTGAACTCTCAGCACATTTGATACATTACAATACATTACAGTTCTAGTTTCTACCTAAACATTCTGACTATAAAAGGGTCTGATCAAACACGTTTTTTTACTTCTTTACACCCAAGACAGATGTGGTTGCTAGGCTGCCATCAGAAACACTGCCTTCAGTTCTGGTATCTTGATCCTAGTGTCTCACAGAGCCACTAAGACAGGTGATGAGTCACTGTGTTGTTGAGGGCTGTGTGGTTGGAGTGTGATGGATCAGGCACCCACAGTGTGGTTCCCAGAGCCCTATGCCAGTCACTGTGGCTGTGCCTGTTGGCTGGCTGCTATGCCAGCGAGGCTTACTCGCCAAAAGTGTTGAAGGGAAAGCCTGAGGGAGCCGTGGATATGTGGTGCACTGGCCAAGTGGTAAATTCTCACCTGTTACTAAGTGAGAATTAGTGCTGCGATCGTTTTTCCTTTCACACTGTGAGTCACATGAGCTCAGTGTCCCAGCCTGCTGTTACCTTACTGTATGTCCATTTAGGTCGCTGACAAATAGAGCTGAAAAGTTTCTCCTCTAACTCACTGGTGGCCTTCACAGCAGCAGCACTGGAGCCCTTAGTTCTGGTTCTAATTAATATTTGTTCCACATCTCTCCTCTTTGTTTCAGATTCTCCTCCAAGTCATTGGAGTTGTTGCTGTAGCTGCAGGCGTTATTCCTTGGATCCTTCTCCCTATTGTTCCACTGCTCGGTGTTTTCTTTTTTCTGAGACGCTACTTCCTGAAAACCTCGAGGGACATCAAGCGCCTGGAGTCTACCAGTAAATCTTTTTGCTCTGGATGTGTCCATTTTAGCTGAAAGACAATGGCAGAGCAGAGGAATGCTAATAGATCATTGAGGCAAACTACATTAGTCATTAGCATAAAGGCTAAAGGTGGCAGTAGCCTTGAGCTCGGCCACACGCAGTTTTCACAAGAGGTGGGAGTTTATGACATCACCCACAATGCTGTACGGGCATGACTGGGTTGCTCTGAGCTTCGTTTTACAGCCCCAAGGTAAAGCTTAACCTCTGCTCCAAAACACCTGAGGGCAGAGGCACAATAGGACTGAAGAGTCATAAAGGTAACATTCCGTGTATTTTAGTAATTCCAAATTTTAATTGTAGCAGTTCAGGATGTCAAGATTTAAAATAAAAGAAGTGTCCATCCGTCTATAACAGAAAGTTGATAATAAGTTTACCACACCACCCCTGAAAGAGTTCCTTTCCTGTTCATCAAATGTGTTGATAATATAAGCCTTACGTATCCTAATAAGGGAAAGTGAGTTCTCACGTAAAACTGTAAAAAAAAAAAAAAGTGTAAAAGTTGGTAACATGTAAATGTTTATATGTATGTATGTAAGCATAGGTCAAATGATTGACAGAGATTGTATTATTTTCAGCCAGAAGTCCCGTCTATTCCCACCTGTCATCGTCTCTCCAGGGCCTCAGCACAATCCGTGCATTTAAGGCTCAGCAGCAGTTTCAGCAGATGTTCGATGAGCATCAAGATCTTCACTCAGGTAAATGGAAATTAGAAGCAACTCACAACATTTTAATTTTTCTTATGTACCATTCAGACTGCTGTAGTAAACATATTTATAATTGTATTTTCTCTCTGTGTTTGTTAACAGAAGCCTGGTTCTTATTTCTGACCACGTCTCGTTGGTTTGCAGTGCGCCTCGATGGAATTTGTTCCATCTTTGTCAGCATCACTGCTTTTGGCTGCCTGTTCCTGAGAAACGGTACTGAAACAGACTTTAGTGCTAAAAGCCGAAATAATGGATCTTTTTAATTGTGTGTCTGATATTTTACAATTCTCTGATGTTGTAGATTTGGATCCAGGCTCAGTGGGCCTGGCTCTGACCTACGCTGTCACACTCACAGGCATGTTTCAGTGGGGAGTCAGACAGAGTGCAGAGGTTGAGAACATGGTAAGTGGTTTAACCTACTGTTGCAGCTGTATAATTATAATAACACTGGACTTCATGTCACTCCTGACTTCGTTTTCAGCTACAGCTTTAAGGGCAATTAAACATCAGATCAGTTGACCTAGGAATTGTGTAATATGTTTGTTTATTCTGATCATAAAACATCTGAACCAAAATTAATGCCTTCTTCTAAATTATTTAAATGTGTATGTAGAGTTTAGCTGGAGATTAGTAAGTTCATTATTTGGTGTTATTCTTTATTTTGTGTTGTCAAGTACTATTTAATATATTTTGTTGTTTTTTGTTTTTACCAAGTGCCCTCATACTCTACTTTTAAATCACGTCTTGTTTGCATTGTGAACGTACTGTAGATGACATCTGTGGAGAGGGTGGTCGAATACGCAGAGCTGGAGAGTGAAGCACCATGGGAGACAGACAAAAAGCCCCCACCCGACTGGCCAAAGAATGGTTCCATCACCTTTAACAAAGTCAACTTCTCCTACAGCGCCAATAAGCCGTTGGTCCTGAAGAACCTGAGTGTTGCCTTCAAAGCCAGAGAAAAGGTTCTTGTCTTTATTCCCAGCTGTGCAGGCCTACTGGTGTGCACGGTTCCATGACTGACGTTCATATGCAGCCAGTGTAGGAGGTGTGGTGTGATTCTTTTTTTTGTGTCGCATTATTTTCAAATCAATTATTGAAGGGACGGGATATTGTGCAGCTTAACTTTGAGGACTATACCATTTGTGATTCATGGAATACATATCATGTAATTAAGACCGTTCAAGTGGATCCATTTGTTCCCAATTTGCATTTTGAGCTACCTGATGGTGACAACAGTTTATTTACTACACAGAGAGAAGAGGCCCAGGTAGAGGGGTGGAGAGGAGAGAGGGCGGGGGGTGGGTGGGTTGAGGCGGAGGAAGATGGTTGAGGATGATTGAAATTGTGTTTAATGCTGGGGGTGTATTTTGCATGGCTATGGTTGGCCAGGGCGGCTGATTTCACAATGGATGGGCTGATAAGTGCACAGCCTCTGGCTCTGACAGCCCATGGGAGGGATCTCTGCAGCATGCCATGGGGGTGAAAGGCTTTGTGCATCCTGACAGTTCCTGTGACACCCCCGCACAAGGAAACCTGCATCTACTGTAACACCAACAGTACAACATGCAGTATATCTCTCACTGCTGTCATACACAAGATACAATGCTCTAGTGATGGACAGTAACATTGACCAGTGGTCTATTACATAACATCTCTAAGATGATAAAAAAAACTGACACCACAGCCTTATTTGGTTCATGTATGTAATAAGTACTTGCATAGACTTTGACAGTTTTGAATTTAATCATGGCTGGTTGGTCAGTTGGGTAGTGCTGATCTTTCACAATTTGAGAGGTGTGGGTTCAATTCCAGACCTGGTAGATGGCAAAACCTGTAGTATAAAGTGGTTTGAGTCGTCATCAGGACTACAGAAGTGCATCTATACAGTAAGTGCAGGACATTTACTGTACATTGAATGGATTTATTCCTCGTCACCACATTTGTGTGTGTTTTTCTTTTTCTTTTTCTCTTTTTCTTTTTTTTTTTTAGAACAAATCACATTGAGGTAATTTAATTCTTATGTTGTTGGCAGACATCAGTGTTTTTTCCTGCTCATGTTTTCTAATTTATTTTCTATTTCTGTGTAACTATTGTCCCAGTATAATTAGTCAGAATTCTATTACTGCTGTCACTCTTCAGTTTGTTTTAGGCTAGCCACTGTGTGTCAGATAACCTTTTTGCCTCTCCACCTTTTGGCCCGTGCAGTCAGAGTCAGTCCTGGCGAGGCTAAGATAGGTTCAATTCTGCACCTCTTGTGTCCTGGGGTAACATTGTAGACACAAGGCCCTCCTCTGCCATTAAAAACAGTTCTTTATGCCCCACTGTTTCAAACAAATAAATAGAATAAAGCAAAACATGTGCAGTATTGCGTAAGTTTAAATTAAAGGCAACTTTTCATTTTCATTCTAGATATATTCAGACACAATGTATGTTTTGGTTTTTGCAGGCAAACATTAATTCACCAGTGGCTGTGCAAAGTCATATATAAAGGCCAGTATATGACGGCATGATGCTGTGTGTGGCACCGGTGGAATACAACTTGATTTTCTCCTGATGTAATTTTTTTTTTTGTTGGTCGTTTTAAATGTATTCACCTGTTTTTGCTAGCTAATTGAAACACAGTATATATTTAATCATTTATTGACAACTTCACGGTGACTAAATTACTATGTGCACTCAACTTGGTATTATCACATTTTTGTTAAATTATTGTCAATGTGGTGTGATTTTGCGATTTTGAAATTATATATTATTATAGTGTGAGTTTTATTTCATTCTGCATGTTGAAATTTGATTATTTTTTTAATAAGTTTAAATTCTATTTGTTTCAGTTAACAAATCATCAGTAATTACTTTATTAGGTTCTTGTGGAGGTCTGACAGATTAAAATAACTCTCTTTTTACCCTGATACTTCAGGTTGGCATCGTTGGACGCACTGGTGCCGGTAAGAGCTCCCTGATCTCTGCTTTGTTCCGGCTGGCAGAACCTGAGGGAAAAATAATGATTGATGGTGTCCTGACCTCCACAATTGGCTTGCACACTCTGCGCCAGAAAATGTCTATAATACCACAGGTGAGTTACTTTAGATGTAGCTGTTGTGTAGAGAAATGTCAGATTTCTTCGTTTGCACTCTTTGTCCTTTTTTTCCCCCTCAGACTTCTGCCTTGACTCCCAGTGTTGGGCTTTGTGCTTCAAAATGTTTGAGAAATGTCAAATGATCACTGTGGAGAAAAACCTTCGTGCTTTGACTGTTTTTGTTTTTTTTTTTACGCCTGGCTTTTAAAAAGGCTAAAACAAGTGAGGAGAATTACAGTCATCACTCAGGGGATTTCTGAAAGTGAGACAGACGGATGCCTTGAGACAGTTTAACTTTATTTCCGCTTGTTGTAACTGATACGGCATTAAGAAAATGCCAGCCTGCGGGTGAGTGTCAGCGGAGAGAGGGAAGGGAGAAGACTCCCACGGCCTGTAATGTGAAGAGAGCAGTTTCCCCATCCCTGACAGAGGATTAGCCTTCTACCCCCCCAAACATGGGAAAGCTGCTTAGACAAACTCTTCCCCCATCCTCAGAGTCTCCTCATTCACCATTAGTTAGTCCAAGTCTCAAACATCTCTCCAGTGTCGCCAAAATGCCCAAAAACACATTCATTAGTGCTTTTTTTTTCACCCCTCTGTGAATTTGATCGGTCTCTGGCAGCGCTGCGATAAAGTTTAACTTTCTGGTCTGAACTAGTTTGAGATGGATGTGATGTGTGTTTGATGCGATTTTGTTTTCTCCTGTCAGTCTCTCCCAGAGGGAGAGAAAGCAAACACTGGCAGGTTGGGAGTCACAACTTTTACTGCACGCCAATCAGTGTCACATAATGAACCACAAAGTCTAACCAGCTTTATAGGAGTTTCTCTTTACACCCTGCTGCTAATTTTACAAATGTATACAGAGTGAAGATGTGTGAATATTTAAAAATATTCGTCTGGGGAAAAAAAAATCTTTATTATTCTGTTCGACACCAGAGATAATGGGATATTCACTCACTTTACACATGGAGAAAAGCAGATAAAAACTGCCAGTTGCTTTACATTTTCATATACCATACATTGTCAGTGAGAAGTCCCATCATTTGTCAGTCACAGATTTGATTAGGATAAGCTTTATTATTAGCATACGGCATTAAAAGGGACCGGTTCTGTTTTCTATTGAATGTGGATGTAACTTGCTGAAAAGAATTCTGAAGCAAACAGAGGGCTTAGGATTGGTGGAGCACATAATCGTTTTGTGGAAGGCTTTGCTTCAAAGCAGTTCTTCTCCAAACTAACACTGAATCCTCAATTAAGGAGGGTCTCAAAAGTAGTGTGGATTGCGACTTCAGTTGGCTCAATGACAACCTGGAATTTTAGTGACAGAGGAAAACGCTTATTGGAATGTGTAGCAGTTAAAAGTCACAGGTAGTAGACAGTTTTTTGTCATCATACCATTTTAATTTAACCAATAATAAAACTGTGTGATCCCTGGGGCTTGGACATGTATTGCATGACACTGAACACAACAAAATGTGACCTCTGTGTTTAACCCATCACCATGGTGAACAGGGGGCAGCTCAAGCACCCGGTGAGCAGTGTGTGGGGACGGTGCACCTCAGCGTCAACAAACTGGTGGACTCGAACCTGTGACCTTTCTGACCTAAAACCGCTTCTCTAATGCCAAGCCAACACTGCCCTAGAAGTTTCTGTTCCCATGTCGGGAGTCGAACGAGTCGAATGGGACAGTATTCCTGTTTCTGGGTGACTTTGTAAATGAGGCTGCAATATGAAGTCCATTGCTTAGATTGAATGATGGCAGGACAGTCGTAGATCCTAATGCAGGACACTGCTCTATCCCCGCTCTAATCTCACAGTTGCCAGGTGAACACTAACTATCAGGATTGAGGGCAGATCCATATCTCCTGCAGGCTGCAGTTATCACACTGCACTGACTGGGGTGAGGATACAGTATCAGTGTTGTGTGTTTAGAGAATTGCTTGTTGCTCTGCGTCACCTCATTGCTGTGATACACCGTTACGTCTCATTTCAGGTTTTTTTTGTGCTCATTATAACCATTTAAGTGTTGTAAAATCTCTATTATGTTTCAAAGGTACGCACAGCCTGTGTTTGTTCACTCATAAAACAGAGCCAAAATGATGCCATATGAAAACCTTATCAAGAGCTGCTTACACTTACAAACACACACACAAACACACACACACACACACCACATCCTTAGAAAAACCTTGTGAGTGTTTTGTAAATCTCTTCATTGTTGGAGCAGGATTTATAAATAAATATCCAGACACGAGGAGGTGAAGCCGACTCGCTGCTGTTTATCACAAACAGAGTGGCGGGTCAGAACAGTGCCTGTACATTCACCACCAGATCTGTCCTACACACTGTAATAAACAGCTTTATTCATGTTCTTGAAAATAGCTGTGTGGCTCAACCAGGGGAGAGCTGACTTAAATACATACATCATATAAGGTCATCGCACAATTTTACATTTCAAATACAAGTGAAGCCACTGTTTAAAACTCTTTGTATTTTAAAAGAGATTACATGACGTTGTTTTTGGAGTTTTATACTCAGATAAAACCCAATATTTTTTTCCAGCAACACCTGTGCGGAGGCTTTGGTTTTCCAAGTAAAAAGATCAACTTCTTCCATAATGGTTTTTCAAAGCACTGAATAGAGCTCCTAAGTGTAGCAAACCCCTTTGTGAACATCTTCCCCTCACACATTGCCTAGCGGTGCTCTATGAAGCCTGTCTTAACCCTTTCATACATCGTCCCCCTTGTCATTATCTTAACTGGCCACGGCCTTCTCTTTTTATATCCATTTATCCACAGGACCCAGTTCTCTTCACGGGCACCATGAGGAAGAATCTGGACCCTTTCAGACAGCACACAGATGAGGACCTGTGGAATGCACTCCAAGAGGTACTCCAGCGTGGCTCTGAATGATTCCCCCTCGCCAACACAGGGGGGATCCCTCTGTTCCCCCGTTACAATGCTGCCATTCAGCCTCCCTGCTCGCCACAAGTCATGGGGGGAAATCCCATTAGGGCCATGGGGCCCAGCTAAATGTGCGGCTTGTAACTGGGCGCCATTGAAAGTACTGGGGGAGATATGTTTGGGCAGTCAGGCCAACCAGAATGAAGTTCCCCCCACAGTGAAGGGCTTCAGCTCCTGGTCCTGTCCCTGAATGGGTTTGGTGGCCTGGATTAAAGCTAAAGGCTGGCCACAAGAGAGCACTGGCCAAGGTCATCAGTGGACCTGGCCCTGCATTGTGCCAAGCGGTTAATGGGTGTGTTTGGATGGCTCTTTAAAGACGTCCCCACAGGAAGCCTTTATCCAGGAGTAATGAAGGGTTGGGGCTCTCTTCTCTCCTTCTCCACAGGTGCAGATGAAGGCCGTGGTCGAGGAACTGCCCAGTAAGCTGGAGACACTGCTGACCGAGTCAGGCTCAAACTTCAGCGTGGGTCAGAGGCAGCTGGTGTGTTTGGCCCGCGCCATCCTCCGTAAAAACCGCATCCTCATTATTGATGAGGCCACAGCCAATGTGGACCCAAGGTCAGGGGACACTATGAAAACACGAGTGATAAAAGTAACTTTTCTATGTAACTGACATCTAACGATAGGATTCCTCTGGATATGAAGTTTGTTATTACCACTTTTTAATTACTCATCTTGTAAAATTAAATCCATTCAGAGTTTAAATGGGCAGGGGTCAGTCCCAGCAGGTCAGATGGTAACTTTGGTCAGTCTTTTACTCTTAGGCAACACTTGTTTCCAGTTATATATATATGTTTATGTATATATATATATAAATGTCTATAAATAAAGAGACATATATATATATATCCATCCATCCATCCATTTTCATCCGCTTATCCGTTACCGGGTCGCGGGGGCAGCAGTCGCCACCCAAATCACATTGCACC